GAAATTATATATTACAGATTTTGTGGTACCCTTGCTTTGCAATTTAACAGCATGTTATTATTTAGCATTTAATGAGTACCAGAAATTGTTCTGTGTATTCTCCCCTTGGTTCAGAAACAATGAAATAAATGGCCTTTTTAGGCTGAGTGGTATTAAGGGGTTCCCTATGGTGCTGGCCATCCATAAGATTGGTAAATGGGGGCTCAGCTAAAAAGAGGATCCATAAAGTATCCTGCACTGAAAATATGCTTTCTCTTCTGCATCTTCAGTTCCTTTCTGTAAAATCCCGTTAGGGGCACTAAGGAACCATGTGGTGCCCAATGTCTTATCCCAATATTCCCAACTATAAGGGGACAGGTTGCATCAGCTGACCTCTGCTCTATTCATATGGCTATGTTCTAAGAAGCAGGAAGTTCTGACTATGGGCCTTGCTCCTTGGAGGAAGTTATTAAACAGAAGACCCTGGAATGGAGTTAGTGAAGCCTTCAATGTAATCCAATATTCTTGTTCTTCTGATAATAAGGGGTGGGGATGCTCATGCTGTGATCACGAGGGATTTTTGAACTAACAAACCTAAATCCCCCAAAGCCATGGATAAAATAGGGGAGGGGGGAAGTGTACTGCAATTAGGCGATTTTATGTACATATTCTATATCAAAATTACCAGCCCATAAAATCTTTACTGGCCCCTCTTTAGACTTATAAAGTAAAATGATGCATTTTATAGTTGTAGCTAAAGAGGTAGTTGAAAACTAGTACTGGAGTATACTGTAGTTTCAACTCTTCCTTAAAAAACAAAACATACAAGTGAACAACACCCAGCTAACTTGCCTATAGACTAATTCAGTTCAGATACAACTTAATGTCTTTCAGGTTTGAGGCTTACAATCCCTGGCTAATTTGCCTTGTGTAGTTATCTGTTATTTTGGCAGCTGTGGAGCAAAAGAATTGTTTAAGCAATTGAAAAGCATCTTAATTCCCATGTTTAAACAAGTAGGTGAGGTGCAAATAACAATACCAAATGTAAATCCAGTTGTGGAAAAGTCTGTGGCTTGGGGATTTAATCACAAAATCTAGTTTGTACCCATTACAGCCATCTGTTGGAGGTTTAAGGAAAACTGTCAGAGGCCTGACCTGGGAGTAACCGAAGTTGCTTTTACCAGGAACAGAACCAGAGGTTTGAACTAGGGCCTCAAATACAGTGTGTTGTCTTTAAGCAGCACTGTACTTTAACCAGGTTGAATGGGAATCCTTTCAGCTGGGGCACAACCCTCCTGTTCACCACAACCACTCCTATGGCCTTTTCGCTATCGGTTTAATATATTTACAACCTAGGTATGGCTCCAGGAGGTACTGAGTTTACAATCCTAATATGTCATATATACAAATTTATGCTATTATCTCTGTTCTTTAAGAGGTGTTTATAACCAAAAGAATCCACTACACAAGTCAGAATCCCACAAGTAGAAACATTCTCTATTCACAGATACCATGTTAACACTTTTGCCTGTATGCCTCTGTTTAATCTCTCTGATAACTCCATCACATAGCTATTATTATCCACCCCATTATTGGATAAGCCAACTGAGACTTAAAAACATAAATTGTTCATCCAAGGTCACATTCTTAGGAATGTGATAGGCTCAGGACTTGAACCTATACTTCCTCCTCATCAATGCATTTAATTAAAGGACCCAGAGCTCAGGCAGAAAATGTAAAGTTCCCACATCCTGGACCCATATGTTTCCCTCCTGCCCTTTGCAACAGTCCTCCATGTCAAAGGCCAGTAACATCCTCACCACCCTCACTGTTAGTCTAGACTTCATGATTCAATGGTCAAGGCGATCTTTTGTAAATGTCCTGTGCTCCTTTGCCTCTTTTTCATTTCACTCTCTTGGTAAAATGCCTTATCATCTGGGGCTGCCATTCTTTACTTTTTCTCTGGCTTGTGCCTTCAATCTGACCTTCTCTATTGGATTTACCTCCTTACAGGTGAACAAAAGACCAACCCTTCCTTACCCTGGTTCCTCTAATTTTCACCTTTGTGTTTTGCTTCTTTATAACCTTCACAAACAAGCTTCTGGGAAAGTAGCCTATCTTGGCTACCTCTGATTCTAACCTCCCTCAGCATCCTGGACCCTGACTTTTGACCTCACTACTCCACTGAAACCGCAATCTAGATTACAAATGCCTTCTAGTTGCGACATAGAATGGACATTCCCCAGTATGTACGTGCTCTCCACTGCTGACACGTCCTTCTCAGAACGTTCTCTGCGCTTCACTTCCATGACATAGCATTTCCTTCTGTGCTCTTTTCAACTCCTGTGCAGCCATTCCTCTTCCCTTCCCCCTCAAACTATCAGTGTTAGCATTTCAGCCTCTGTGATCTTCAGTGATTTGGTCTCTTTCTAGAAAAACTGCAGTGACTCCAAAATCCATATTTCCAGGCATGGCTTTCTTCTACACTTCATTCAACTGCCTGTTGTAGTCCCACGAGCACCAGAAATTTATCATGTCCCCAACTCATTTCTCCTTCTTCCCTAATCTGTTTTACCTGTCCAGAGAATATTTGTGTCATGCACCTGATAGCCCAATCTTGAGTCACCTTTTCCTCACCTGGTGATAACGTCCTAAAGTCTATTTAATAAATACCTGGTTCTCTCCTCGTCTGCATCCATGCCATTGCTGTCCCTGTTCATACCTCATTCTTTCATCTTATTATGGCATAATTTGCCTATAGCATCCATTCTTATGTGTATAGATAAGATAGATCTATGAATTTTGACAAAATAGTCATGTAACCACAACTACAACTGAAATATGAAAGTTTTATCACCTCCTTCTAGCAAAAAAACCAAAACATGTCTCCAGTACTCATTTGTAATTAACCTTTTCCCTTCCTCTAGCCCTTGAAAACCAGATTTTTTTTTTACCAGAGTCCAGCACCTCCCACCCCACATAACCATGTTGTTGGGCGTGTCTGCAGTTCATTCCCTTTTGTTGCATGGAGATACCAGCTTGTTTATTTCTTCACCAGCTGAAGAGCATTTACTTAATTTCTGGTTTTTGGTAATTGTGACTAAAAATTCATGTTTAGGTTTCTGGGGAACATAAGTTTTCATTTCATTTGGGTGAGTATCTAGGTATGGGTTGCTGTGTCATATGGTAAATATATGTATAACTTTACAAGAAACTTTGAAACTGTTGTTCAAAGTAGCTGGCCCATCTTGCTTTCTTACTTGTGATGTTTGAGAGTTCCAGGTGCTCTGTGCTAGCACTTGGTATTGTCAGTTTCGTTTTCCTCATTTAGATCATTAGAAGAGATGTGTAATGGTATCTCAGCATGGTTTTAATTTACATCTCATTAGTGATTAATGATATTAAACTTTTTCATGTACTCACTTGCCAGTCATATATCCTTTTTGGTGAAGTGTTTCTTCAAATGTTTGAGCTAAAAATATTCATTCAAATATTTTCCCCCTCTTTTTAAACATTACATTGTTTTGTTATTTTTGGGTTTGAAACTTAAAATATACTCTGGATCTAAGTCTTTTATTAGGTACATGTTTCGTAAAAGTTTTCTTGCATGTCTTTTGAAAACTAAGATAAGAGTAAATTCACATGCAGTTGTAAAAGGTAATAGGAACTTGCTTACTGCTCCTCGTGTTTCCTACAATAGACATCTTGCATATCAGGGCATTGCAGTGATAGAATCATCAATATTATTCAGTCTTAATTGACTTGCATGCTTTGTATGTACTCATTTGTGTGTTTTGCTCCATGCAATGCTATCACAAGTGTGATTTCTGTGACCAACCCTGCAGCCACACACAGAACGATCCATCACAAGGATTTCTTTACAACCATAGCCACCTCGGTTCCTCCCTGGCAACCACTAATCTCTCCACCTCTGTAATTTTGTCCTTTCAAGAATCTTACATAAACTGAATCATACAGTAGTTAACTTTTGGATTTGGTATCTTTTACACAACATATTTCTCTGGAGTTGTTTTGTAGCAAGAATTCCTTCCTTTTTATGATGAATAGAATGTCACAGTTTGGTTAACCATTGAAGGACATCTGACTTGTTTCCAGTTTGTGACTATTGCAAATTAATTTGCTACAAATACTCATGTACAGGATTTTTTGTGAACACGTTTTAATTTCTCTGGGATATAAGTCCCAAGAGTGCCATTGCAGGGTCTCAGAATAGCTGCACTTTTAGCTTTCTAAGAAGTTATCAAAACTTTTTCCCGAGTGCCTGTACATTCATTATATAGTATGCATTTTACATTACATAGTCTCGTTGGTGATGTGCGATTCATTTTCTCTGCATCTTTGTCAGCATCTGGTAGTGCCTCTATTTTATTATTTTAATTTCAGCCATTCTGATGGGTGTACAGTGACATCTCCTTGTGGTTATAATTTACATTTCCTCTGTGGATAACGAGGTTGGATATCTTTTCAGGCACTGTTTTTTGAGGAGCCATTCCTTTCTTGACAAAACTACTACATGGGAAGCAGTCCCCTCCCTCCAGTCTCATTCTTTCCCAAAACAGAGCTAGACAGACCCGCCCCACGCCAACCGCAGTATAGTCCTTATCCCTTGGTTGTAATTTTCTGTTCAAAATCTGTCTGCTTCCTAGATCCTGATCTCCAAGCAGACCAGGGCAATTTTACTCAGCCCAGGATTCTCAGCCAGGATACAGCGTGTCACAGATGAAGCACTATTTTTTCAATAGATGAATGATAAAAAGACAAAATGGTTTCAGTACTAAAAGGAGGTGAAGGCCCAAAGAATGGGTTAATGAACCTTGGCGAGATACGTACGGCGCTGATTTTCGCCCCTCTAACCTCTGCCCCAGGGTCCTGCCCACACGCATGCTCTCTCATTTTTCCCCAACCCCGCCCCTCAGCTGCTCTCTTTGGCTCGCCCTTCCTCGTCTGCGACCAATTAGGGAGAGGAGGCGGGATCGCGACTGCCGCTGTGCTCTTCGGGTAGTATCCCTAGTTACTGTTGCTAAGGCTGCGGGTCGCAGAGGGTGGTGGGAATAAGAAGTTTTGGAAGCCAGGCCTGAGCGAGAGGCCAAGGGTCAGTCAGAGCAGGGGAGGAGATGGTGAAGGAGACTATCCAGATTTTCGCGAGGTTAAAGCCCCCTTCCCGGAAGCACCAACAAGGGGTATGCGCTGAGCAGCTGGGCACCGGCGAGGTGGGGCCTCGGGGCGCGGGTGGGTGGGCTCGAGGGGCGGGGGTGGGGAGCCTGCGACAGCGCAGCGAAGTCCTGGAATCCCTCACACGCTGCCCTAGATGCGGTACCACCCTGTGAGGGAAGCGACCTACAGAGCCCTGCCCAGTCCCACGCTGCACAGCCCTGCACAAAGCACACGTGTTCACCCGGGGCGCTCTCGTGTGTGTGTGTGTGTGCGCGCGCGCGCTCGCTCCTGTTCGCACACACGCACAGACTGCGCCTCTACTACGCATTGGCACTTACTGCACCTTTCTGGAAATCTGCTACCCGCCCCCCGCCATGTATATTTTCACAGTTGGCCAAAACATGTGCAAGCAAGGAGATACATGCTTATGTCTGAAGTGATGCATACTTAGGCAGACACAGATACACAAAGCTGACACACATGCAGTCGTTTGCATGCAGTGAACCATCAGGAATTTCTTGCCCAACTATACAGTCACTCGCCAATATAAACGTGATCCATGAGGTACAGTCGTTGTAGATAGGTATTCGTGCATCCTGGCACAAAGACTATAAACCTCACTCAGAAAACATTAATGAGTATTTCCCAGGTGCTTCCTCTACTGTGCTAACTTGAGAGGATTACAGAGAATGTTAAGACGTCCTCCATGCCCTTAGCAGATGCTCTGTGTGCTTCTTAATGTATTAGAACTTTGTCCTCTCTCTTGTGAAGGGAGCCTTCTTCCTATGACTTGCATACTTGCTACTTGACAGATGTTTTGTCAGCACCATCTGTTTCTCACAAGAATCTTGCAAGGTGGATGTCCTTTTACTCATTTTACAAATGAGGAAAACTGAGTCGCAGGTTAAATAATGTCACCTAGTTGGTGAGTACCAGAGCTGTGATTTTAATTAAGAATTTTTTTATTACAAAGCTATTCCCCTTTCAGGCAAAAAAAAAAATTTTTTTTACTTCCAGGTATGAATTTAGGCAAGGACAGTTTGGGTCAGATTTGTGAGTACTTTGAATAGGTGTATTAATAATGTTTGCTGTCTAGCTCATATCTGTGTTGTGAGTATGTATGTGTGTAACATCCTAGGGTCTCAGAATTTAGCATTTGCCTCATGTAATTTATGTATTTAAAAGAATATAATGTCTTTATCATCACCATCGGTTCTTTTTTCCATAATACACATTTAGGAGAGGATACATGAGACAACTCCAAAAAAAATTGGCTTTTAAAAAAGGAATGAAGTAGTATAAAAAGAATCATGGGTGTCTTCTCATTTTATTTCCTGTTGCAATTACCTACACAAAGATTTTTTAAAGTGCATGTAAAAAGTATATTTATGCAGTATTTAAGTCCCAGATTCTTAGCCTAAAATGTTGAGTTTACACAGATTCTGGCAGTTAGAAGCAGATGCTCAGCTATGGGAAAGAGATGTTGGGCTGGGGAGTTGATGGAGAGCCTTAGATTTAATATTGAATGTTCTCTTTTCTTAAAAGGCAGTGTTTGGATATTTTAATGTGCCTCTTTTTACATTTCTTTAGTTGTCTGCAGAGTGGATTGATTCCCCCCCAAAAATGTTTTTAGGTTTTTTTATGACGTCAGATTCTGAGATGTAACATGATGCCATATACACAAAAAGAAGGGAATAGGAATAAATATCAAGTTAGCATTTCCCTGCCCTCCCTTAGAAACCCCACAAATTAGCACCATATCTTGTCCCCCAAAAGACTGTATGGTTGTTTCTCTAATTGCAAATGCTGTCTGTAGTATTAAACAGAGTGACTCAAAGACTTATTTCTTAAGGCATTAGAAATTAAATAATAATTTATAGATCATTAAAGAAGATGCATGGTATGAATCTGTCTGATAGTTTTAACAATGGCAATGCTTTTCTCTTGTGCAGAGCTTTGTACATCTCAAAACATTTCATATCCACCCTTGCATGTGTCTGTCTTCTAAAAAATAGCTGTCCTATCTCAGATAATAAATATTTTTATGACTATGGGTAGAAAGCTAATATATTAAAATTTTTGGCCCTAAGGAATTTTCTTAATGCCTCAGAATAGCTTAAACAGAGTTAGTAGGGGCCGTTGTTCCCACTCCAGTCAATTCTCCTGTGTCTGCTGAGCACAGAGAGACACATTATTTTTTAAATGTATGCCACTCCTCACTCCTGTGTTTCATGTCTTACACACTCCTTTCGTTCACCTGTCTAAACTATTAAACTTTTTTAATGTAGTGCCCTGTAGGATATACTTTTAAAATCTCTCTTGAGAAAACTTAGCCAGAAAGCCTTGAACTTGATGTCATCATTTTCTACCAATAATTTTATTTTTCAAAATGACTTTTTAACCTGAAGTCTTCACATTTTAAATATGAGGTTTCAATAAAAATCTGCTTAGGAAATTATTAATACTTTCTGGAGATTTAGGTAGGATTTTACTTGCGTAGGAGTATGACTTTTTCCCTATAATCAAGCTTCTAAATGGGTCTTAAACAGGAAGTATTGCCTGTTAGAATTTTATATCTTGGTGAAAGACAAGAAAGTCTTTTTAAAAAAACCTTCAAAATCTAATGACTAACTTTTTATGGTACATTACAAAATACTTCCATTACACCATTAGATCCCCTGTAAGGAAGGCAATTCTGTTTTCTTCATTTTATATGTAAAGAACCTGGATTCTGAAAGTGGTGGCTGGTCACACAGCTGGTAAATTGTGCTCGGCATTCAGACCTCAAATCTTAGGCTTGTTTTCTGGTCAACAAAAAGAAGAGTAGGTAACCAAGAAGAGAATCAGAGAATGTTGCAGATGTAAGGGCTCTGATCAACACCTCCTCCATTTCCCTATCAGCTTAGAGGGGCTAAGTGATTTCTCCCAGGTCACTTGCCAGTTAATAGCTGGGCTGGGATGACAAGGTTAAAAAGGACATCAAAGGGCCGAGGATTTAGCTCAGTGGCATGTGCCTGCCTCACAAGCACCAGGTCCCGAGTTCGATCTCCAGTACCAGAAAAGAAATGACATCAAAGACATAAACTACATGTATCTTTTGAAATTACATATCTTATCAAATGCCTGAATATATTTCATGGAAATTTGGGCTTCTTTGAACATAATTGAAATTTGAGCATTCTTGTGAGCTCTCTAAGAAGGCTCAGAACCATTTGTATCTTGGTGTGTAGCAGTTTGGAAATGCCCAGAGATATTTATTGGTTGAAGGGAAATGTTAATTTCTTGATACACAACATGAAAGCAATACTGAGACAATATGTTGCTTTCAGGACTATTAGTTTTCAGTCACAACCTCAGAAACATTCATATGCTCAGCTTTGAATATTAAGTCATTCAAAGATGATCTGAACGTTTTTTTTTTTTTTGGTACCAGGGATCGAACTTGGGACCTTGCACTTGTGAGGCAGGCGCCGGAACCACTGAGCTAAATCTCCGGCCTGATGATCTGAACTTTGATGTAGCATTTTTTCCTTTTGTTCACTTCCAAATATTTGCATCCACATGTAATTCAAAGAGGAAAATTATCTAAATTGTACTGTATTATGACATTTTATCTTAAAACTACGGTGATACCTTGGTACTCAAATTTTTTGACTGAAAGCATCAAGTACCAAATAAAGGACCAATACCTGTCAAATGGGTTGAGTACCAAATTTGACAAATTTCAAAGCAAGTACCAAGGTATGACTACAATTTTTGTACCATTACAATGCAAGTCATAATAACATGGTCATAGTTTAACCTGTAATTTTACCATGGTGCATTCATTTATTGTCCTTGTATTTGCAGATTTATTCTATAGATGAAGATGAAAAATTAACACCTAGCTTGGAAATTATCTTACCACGTGATTTGGCAGATGGATTTGTGAATAATAAGCGAGAAAGCTACAGATTTAAGTAAGTTTATCACTCTCCTCCTGCATTTGTTTCATTAGTGAACTAACTCCTGCCCTGCATTAATATCCACCGTGAAATCCTGAGCCCAGTGTCTTGTGGAGAAAGTAGTACAGCTGTCTTGACTAGTAAATAGAACTCAAGTTCACTGATATGCTCAAGGTTGAAATAGAGTATATGGCTATGTCTGAGGTCCCAGCCTTTCTTTGCTACCTGTGTTTATGTAGTGCTATCCTTTTCTTACTCAGCCTGCTGTGGTTTAGTATTTACAGGAGGTTCCAGTCCATGATGAAACTTTAGTAAAGACCTTAAAGTACAATCTGCGACCTGTTTAGATGAGCTTTCTTTGTAGTGTAAATGACATGCAGATCTTACCTGCACTTAGGTACCCTGGAAGCATGTGCTGTCCAGTGTAACAGTCATGAGCCCCATGCGGCTCTTGAGCACTTGAAATGCATCTAGCCTGAAGTGAGATGTACTATAGAGTATAAGATATATGAAGGCCTTTTGAAGACCTATGAAAAAAAGAATGTACAATATCTCAAATTTTTATATTATATATTGTAATAAATTTTCAAATATGTTGAATTAAAAGATACTACTGTGATTAATTTCACCTGTTTCTTTTTTACTTTTTAAAAACACAGTAACTAGAACATTTCAATTTCCATCTCTTCTCGTATTTATGGGCGCATTTTCTCTCTCTTGGGCCATGCTCACCAGGGTTTGAGGGAAAAAAAAAATCAAATAGGCACTGTGGGTCGTCATCAGTGTCTTTGATTTGAATACTCTTCTGGTAGCCAGGCCTTGCAACTTTGAGGATTATGGCTATTTCACACGGCCTTTGTTCTCCAGTTTCAGATGAAACCATTTCTTTTAATCCCACTTGTGATTTCTGATAAAGTTTGAGCCCAAGTTAAATGCATCTGTGATATCTGGCTGGAAATGTGGGGGTAGATTTCTGGGCCCAACTGGAGAAATCCTAGTTGCTGACTTACATCTCTCTCTAGACCATTTTATGAAGACCCTATTTTGAGACTACCCCTGTCCCTCTAGATAAAACCATTCCAGACATTTTATGGTTTGGGCCCTGTTTTTTACTTTCTATGTGTGTATGTGTATGTGTGTGTGGTGCCAGGGATTGAACTCAGAGGCTCACAAATGCTAAGCATATGATCTACCACTAAGCTATATCTCTAGCCCCCTCTTCTTTTCCAAATTTTTATTTGCTCTTATTTTTTTTTAATCTCATAAAGAATTCTCTTTGGTCTGCATAATTCTTCCTCTTGCCTCTCACATCTCTCTCCTTCCACATCCACCTCCTCTTATTTTGCCTCCTTTTCTAAGTACAGGCAGGAGCTGCTAATCCGTGGTTGCATAGCAAGGTGGTCCTTACCTTGACTTTGTGACTTCCTGTCGACTCTCATTGTGTCCTTTGAGGAGTTACCTTGTAATACATGGTGTACTTTTTCTGAAGGGTGTTCTCGCACTGATGTAAGCATGCTACATATCTTAATGGCTGGGACTTCATGGAAGCTGGTGTAAGCAACAATTTGCTGAAACATTTCATCCAGCATCATGTATTAGATGAAGAACAATTGACTGTGTCTGTATCTACCACCCCTTTCCAAAGTACTCTTCCCATTCTGAGTATATAAACAGAGTACATTTCAACAAATGCCTATTGAAAGAGCACTCCTTGCTTATTTTTAAATCTCTGAATTAAAAATACCACTTTTAATATTTAAAAATTAATAGTCAATGTATACATACATTCAGAGATAAATATTGAAGCATTTTTAGGACTGCTTTCCTCCAAGAAAATGAGCGAGCACACTCTGCATGCTTGCTGTTTTCATTGCTAGGAGTAAAGCAGGGAGCATCCCAAAGGTCCTGGTCTTTCATGGGAGGAGAGAGGTAAGCAGATCAGTAAGTGCAGTGTATGTCAGGAAGTGTTATGGGCCTTAGTGAAAAATAAGGCTGGGGAGGAGAAGAAAGGTGCTGGGGGGAAGTAAAGGCAAAGGTGGAAAGGAAGATAGGAAGCAGCCATTCACATAGCTGAGGAAAGGGAAGTGCAGGCTAAGTGAATAGCAAGACCTAAGTCCCCAAAATGGGAGTGTGCTCAGCATGTCTGAGGAAAAGAAAAGGCAGCTAGGTCAAAGGGGCAAGGGCAGCTAAAGCCTGTGGAGCCCTCTGGGTCCTGGTGAGCCCTGAGCATTTCCCCTAAGCACCATGGGAAGGCAGTGGAAGGTCTTGAGCGTGAGAATGAAATGATCTCACTTGTGTTCAAGCAGGATCACTCGGTGACACTTGGAAAATAGACTGTAAAGGGTCAAGGGAAACCAGCAGGGCTTCCACAAGAGAGACTAGGTAGAACATTATGCTGGCGTGGACCAGAGTCATAACAGTAGAAATGTCCAGGATACAGTCGGCCTCTATATCTGCAGTTCTGCATCTGCAGAACCACATTCTGTGGGTTCAAAACATCTGAAAAAATTGATGTCTGCACTGGGCATGTACAGACTTATTATTCCCTAAACAGTAGAACAATTTTTTACATAGCATTCACACTGTGTTAAGTGTTGTAAGAATCTACAGATGACTAACAGCATATGGGAGGATGTGCAGAGTATATGCAAGTACCATGCCATGTCATACAAGGCACTGGAGCCTCTGGTTTTGGAGCCAACCCTTCAGGTCAGGGGCTGACTGTAACTGAACTCTTGATGGATTTTGAAGGTTAAAGGTAACAGAGTTTGACAGTGGACTGAATAGAAAGAGAGGGGTCAGGGTTGACCTGAAGGTTTCAGATTGAACTTTTACAAGGATAGAATATCATTTACTGGATAAGGAAGGTTGCTGGAAGAACAATTTGGGGGGCGGAGAATAAGTATATACTGAGTAGAAATAGCCTATTCAACATCTTAATAAAATAAAGGACCTTCTAGGAAAGCAACGTTATATCTCAAGGCATGGTACTGATGAGTTTCAGGACTCCGAGCAATTACTTTATCTTTGTGAACTTCAGCTTTCTCATAAGCGATTAAACTGAACTGTTAAAAGGTCTCCTAATTCTGATTCTATTTTCTCTCTAGTGTTTTTCAGAAGAGAACTGATCAAAAGACCTTTTTCGATTGCTATGCAACTGTATGAAATAAAATATTTGGGATGATATACGATGTTTAATATATAATTCAGGATTATAAACTTTGAGGCTAAAATCTCCATTCTAAAATGTGTGGGAGAAACCAATAAACAAAGGGATATAAATTGCTTGTGGTTCTACTGTTACTTTATATGATGGAGGATATCATTTTTTCCCCAAGGAATTCAATACGCTTTATAGGTATTGTACTAAAATTACATTTTAGTCTAATTTAAACTTTATTAGAAGTGCTTGGTACATGGTAGTCACTCGGTATATATTTGTGAAATAGATTAGAAAATGATCATGCCAAAAATCGTTTTAAGTAAGGTACCTTCCAGAATATATTCTGCATGTGCCAAAGCCCCTGCCATCTCTTTTGATTACTTGGTAATAGATATAATTCCTGGTGCTCAAGGGGGGTGGGGAATTTGGCTGATCAGTTCACCCCATCAACAGCAGCCTGGTGAAAGAAGCTAGCCCGCTTATCTATCAGTCTCCTCAAAGGCACTGCGCTCAGGCACTGAAGTAGACCGTGCTCTGCAAAACATTCCCGTGGGCAGCCGTGTGTGTGTCGACCTCTGTGTGATGCTGCTGTGTAGGTGTTGGTCTTTGAGGCTCTCGAGAACTGGTCTAGGCACACTGCACAGTCAATACTACTGTCTCAACTATGATCTCATCTCCTAAGTCCTTAGAAGGGGGCCTCTAGAGTTCACTAGTTGCTTCTTTAAAATGGAGGTTGATGAGCTACAGGGATCTATGGAAGTCAGTGTTGATTAAAGACAAATTTCTTGCCGTTTTATGTTTGCAGGCTAGCACTAGTCTTCCCTCTGAACTCCTCATGAGTAAAAGCAGTCTAGCATTTCACCTACAGCCTCCACTTAAATCGAACACGTGCTCTGTTGACTTGCAGAGGGGGGCACCTAGGACCAGAGTGGCACAGGATGCCCTGCCCTCAAAGTGTGTGTTTCAAAGTTTTTGCATCTGTCTCCCCACAGTTTTTAACTTCAAAATTTAAATATATAGAACACATGGAAGAACAAACCAGTCGACATTCATATACTCTGTGGGAGACTCATCTTTTACTAACATTTTATTCTGTTTTCCTTGCTCTTGTTCTCTGTCTCATCATTGAAATATTTTAATGGGGGCCATACTTGGTGGCAGCTTAAGTCCCCATAAAAGAATAGATTGTGTGTCTCCTGTCTCAGGTGTCCTCCATGCTAAGTCGGAGTGGCACTGGGAGAACAGTGAAGTCAACCCCATCCCACCCCATTCCCTTGGCACTGCCAAGCTGATAGACTTCTCTTTGCAGAACAGGTCTGTCTGAATTTACTTTCTGACTTGTGAACTGTGGCCAAGAAAATGAAATGAAACCACCCTTAGAATTAAACCGTTGATCCTAGGATGCAGAACCTAATTAGTAGAAAATAAACTACTGTTCAAAAATTTGAAATTAAATTTGATAACCATACAGTGCACAGCCGCATCCTTTTCTCACAGGTCAGATATCAGAAGTTCTTTGGCTGTTTACATCCTGGGTTTCCATTTCATGCGGTTATCTAGATTTGAATTTGATGCCATTTGTAGACACTGTCCCCCTTGAGAGCTGAAAAACACACAGTTTATTATTGGGTTCAAAGCTGCTGCAGTTTTTCAGAGGGATTTATTGTGCAGATCTTGTCAAAGCAATACTGTTTACTCACCATTTGTATCAGGAGCACAACAGCACACTGTGGTGGGATCACAGCGTAGACATTGTGTTCAGTTAGGCAAGCCTGGTGACATAAACATGGGGTCATGTACAAAGCTCATAGAAAAACAAGATTCATTAATCCAGTCGTGTTTGAAGGGTCAGCTTTTAAATAATTACCATTTTCACATTGCAGATTTCAAAGGATTTTTGATCATGATGCAAAGCAAGAGATCATTTTTGAAAACATTGCCAAACCAGTCGCTGAGAGGTAGGACTTCCCAGATTTTATGGTTTTGCCTTTTGTCTTTGATTCTCAGGTAATGGGAATGTGCTTCAGTGTGCCAGTGGTATACTCAGGCTTTGGGGCATGTGATGATGATAGCATTAGTAATATCTTGTAGTCATGTAGGCGATGCTTTAGACTTCAATTCTGAGCCTCAAAACCACCAGTGAGACAGAACAGCTCTTATTACTCCTATTTTAAAAGATATGGAAACCAAGGGTTTGCAGAGACCCAGTATCACTGCTCGGGATTGTGTGGCTCCTAGTGGCACAGCCCTTAGTTGGTTTTCCCGCTGATATTTCAATGTTCTTTCTCCAGCCCAATATTTAAACATGTAGTTAGATGGACAAAGTGTAAGGAAGGTCTGGGTGGCACCCAGAGGCTGAACGGTGGTTGGCTCTGCCACATCTCAGTGTCATTTCAAAGCTTGGTCCTTACTGTCTAGGTCCATTTGCTCAATAAATCTAGGCAGTTCCCAGCTGCTGACTATTGGAAATCAAAATTACTAGAGTGTCTTGGCAAAATCTCATCGGGAGACAGTCAAGCCCTGTGATAAGCACACCATCCTCCTGTAGGAAATCTATACTGACAATGCTGCTAAGATGGCTTTCTGACCCTGGCATCATACTGATGATTTTAATGATCTGATAGTCTCCATATAGATCTGCTTTACAATTGAAATGAAAATGTATCTGCCCAATGAGCTGGGGTTTCTAGTGCACTGATCAGTGTACCCTGTCTGTGGACGCACTGCTGGCCACAATTTGCCACATTTTTTGTCTCTCAAGCTCCTGTGTTTGGAATCCAAGCCCCTCCCATGTAATACTCTCCTCCTGCCCTGGGAGGAACAAGGTCAAGTAGCTTTTGCTCTTTCCTGTGTAATTACCCTCAGGTGACTCCCTTTAGATTACGTTCGGGACTCCTTGATCAGATGTCAAACGTTTCTAAAATTCCTTTCCTTTTAGTAAGCCTCTGGGTTAGGTCATACCTCGGATAGCTGGCCTCATGTTTTATACTGAGGCCTCCTAAAATGATGTGGGGAATGAGCCCCAGATTGGACTTCATGGATTCCTGGGTCTTCCTCCCACTCTTCGCTCTCATCCCAATCCCACCTCCTCCTCTGGCCATTGCCCCTTTCCTCTGCTGTCCTTTATAACATGTTTATTTGAAATAGTTGAATGGATCCACTACTCCACATCCTCTCTTGAGCCTGTTCTTATCAGGTTTTGCTACCCAATGGTCCACGAAAAACTCTTTTTATCACTCAGCTATGGCTTCTGGCCATTTCTCAGTCCTCCCCTTGTTTGAAGTGTCTGCTCTTGACACAGTTGATTCTTCCATCCTCAATCCACATTCTTCACCTGGCTTCTAAGAAGTCACACTCTCCCGGTTCCCCACATAGCTTCTTAGCCACTCCTTAGTTAATCCTCTTTGCTTCCATTGTATGCAGGCAGCATCAGTTCGCCCTTGCGTTCGCCATTGCTGTTCCCTCTGCTTTGCTGTCTTCCTTTAGAAGGGTGTGCAGTATTGGCCTCAGCAACCTGACATTCTTGCTCATGTCCCACTGTCTCACTGAGGCCTTCTTTGACTGTTTGTCTTGGTCACTCTCTCATCCCTGGGACACAATATTGGACACCTACCAACTTAAAGGTGGAGAGGTTTATCTTGGTTTACATTTTGTAGGGGTTTCAGTCCATAAATGGCTGGTTCCAGGGCCTCACAGCATGGCACAGGGGCCTGGTGGAGGACAGACGCTCATGGCATGGTGGACAGGAAGCAGAGAGAGAGAGAGAGAGAGATCAACGGAAGAGCCAGGGAGGGAGCTAAACCCTTCTGGGCCACACTTCCAGTACCCGCCTCTTCAGACCAGACCCCACCTCCTAACAGCAAGTCAGCTATGGCACCCCCCTAATCCAGTTGCATTCCAGAAGTCCCACCTGTGAGCACATGAGGCTCTGTGAGGACATCCGGACATAAACCCTAACACTGCCCTATTTAAAATCCCCACCCACCCCAACCCCATTTCCCTTTCCTCTTTCTCATCCTTCAGCACTCGTTACCATCTGAATTACTACGCAGTTTGATTACTTACTAGGATTTGACTCATCTCTGAAAGAGTTACCAAGTAAATTAACTTGCTAAATTAAGAGCCTGGGGAGGAAATCACTTTTTTCATTGACTTTAAATATATTATGTACACAGTCACACATGTTCACATTTCAGGCAAACTTAAATTGTGAGACTTTGAAATAGCAAAACATAAAATATTATTAAAGTCTAATTTATATATATTTAGAGTAATATTTATGTCCATAAATTGAAAACTAGTTTCTGAAGTATTACAGAATTTGGCAGGCCCATGCATGGAAACTGTACCACTTTAGATATTAAACAGAAATGTCTATTCCTTACAATGTCTAGTCTTCAGGAACATAACCTAAAATACAACCACTCTAAACTAGCTATTTAAAGTGGTTCTATTGGATAACATATTCCAGCTTAATTCTGGTTGCTGTGTGTAATTAAAGCTAAATAAAACTCATCACATTTCTTTCTGAAATTCTACAATTCAGAATCTAATTTAGACTTGTTTTCTTATCTAGTTCAAACCAGTATTATTATGCCAATACTGTAGGACTTCATGGATGGAGAGAAATTGTAAAGCTTTAGCTTTGTATCATTGAAAATTAAGTAAAAGAATAACTGTGGTTATTTATTATTTAGCATATCTCCAATAGGACATAGTTTACATGCTGTTCCTTCTGAAATTTAGTTTTTCTGGAATGTATCCTGTGTTTATCAGTAACATGTAAAAACTGCCTTTTATCATATGAATTTCACTTATTGATTTTTGGATGAATTTTTTATAAAGTTGAAATTTATCAAGTCCACAAGTGTTTATGGTATTACAGTATATAAAAGTTTGTTGTTTTATTTTATATTTTGCTTGGTATTATGCTTCTCAAACTGGTGTACCATGATCTCGGGGATATGTGGTAGTTGATCACAGAATACTTTGTAAGTTAGCTTGGTACATCATCCTGGAGTATTAATTTCACTTAGAGATTTAGGGAGGAAAACTTTGAAGTGTAGACTTCGATGAACTCTTATCACATGCATCTGCAAATCTGTTGAATTTGAGTTTTTAATAGATCTAATTGTATAATATTACCTAAAAATTTGGGATGTCAGAAATTCACCTTACATAGTGAGCAATTTTGGGAAGATTTTGAAGTTTGGGTTTTTGGAGGAACATGTTGGTATTCCCAAAATGAATAAGGTACATACTTCCAGGAAGACTGCTCCTGCCATGCTTAGACTCTCTTGCTGGTGCCACTGGCTAGATAAAGACATCTGCATCACAACCAGGCTGCCCATGTTGCTTTTTGAAAAGCTTTTGGTTTTCTTTGAGCCATCACTTTTTAACCTTTGGTTTCACCAGTGATGAGCAAGATCAAGTCAGCCTTTCAGTGTATGCAAAGAGGAGGGTGAAGGAAAGGAGAAGTTCCTAGGGCTCCATACCAGCCTTGGAGAAAAGCGTGGTAGAATCCTGGCACCTGTGCTCTGGCTGGGCAGGAGGCCGGGCTCATGCAGGGATTTTCTTATGGGGCAGCAGGGCCACATTCAGCGGGAACAGGGCTCAGCAGGGCTGTCCCGTGGTGCTCTTCAGGATTCCGACTTTGCTGGTGATGTCATGTGATGCAAAACATGCCCAGTCCTGCTCTCCAGTCAGAGAAGAGGTCCTGCACCGTCAAGACCAGAAAGCCAGAATTGGGAAGGAGGGCCATAAATGACGAGTAAATAAAAACGTCTTACTATCAGTTGTTCACCCTTGTGTATTTGTGCTTTTACCTCGTCTGGTTCAACATTCTTGGCATCAAGTAGAGTAATGTAATTTATGCCTCAGCCCTGTGACTATCTCAGTATGTGAGTGTGGGTCAAAGATCGCATATCTGAAGCAATTATCCCCTCTGAGAAAGGGGAATGCTAATAATACCACATTTTCAATGCGTATAAATGTACTTTGTGAACTTCAATTATCCCATTCAAGGTATGAAAAATTTAAAATATTTATTCTCTTTTCACTTTAAAAATATGCCCAGTAACTTAGTTTTGGTCCAGCCCAAGATACAATAGACATATTTCATTCCTTTCACTGAATATGGTTAAAAACTCTTGATATTCTAGAAAAAAGAAAACTAAGAAGACTCTGAGAGGTGGAGAGAAGAGGCCAGAGCAGCCAGGGCCCTTGATTTGAGCCTGAGAAACAAGGTGGCCGAGTTCTCTGGGCTGTTTCCACTTACGTATCCCAGACTGGACGCTAAAGAAACTGATGCCTCAGAAGTGTGATAGCAGAGAAAGAGGAATGGGAAGTCTTTCTCCCTTGCTTGGACGTAACAACTCCATCTTCCATCTGTATCGTCAGTTGAAGTCACATGGGGTCCTGGAGTCCACCACCATCCAGCAGTAACAAGGCCGATCCCAGCCTGCTGTGGGGTCAGTGAGCATAACAGGCTGCCCCCACCTTTCCCACCCAGCTGCTGTCCAAACTTGAAACCCCACCTCCATCCAGCAGGAATGAATCTTCTCCACAGATGGCAAGAGAGGCAGAGTGAGGACCCTGGATCAGTGTCTCAACAGTACTGAGGTGACCTGAAATTAATGAGGGGCACTGAAATTACCCAGTCTTAAGAACAGAAAAAAAATAGACTGAAAAAAAATGAGAAGTCCTTCAAGGACTTATGACAGTGGTAGCGAACCTATGACATGAGTGTTTTTCTTTTAAGACAAAAGATGTTAATGTACGAGTTGTTTTTTTTTAATGAAAACCTCAGTATTGAGGTTTAATTTGCAGTATTGGCACTTTGCAGTAAATAAGTTGGTTTTGGGGTGCAGTTTGGGCACTTGTCCCTAAAAGGTTCTCCGGCACTGACTCATGAGAGCTATACTAAAAGATCTAACATTTTTGTCATCAGACTCTTTAAAGGGAAAGAGTGTTGATTAGAGAAGTAATGGCTGAAAAATACCCAGATTTGGTAAAAGGCTTTCCAAGAAACAGAAGAACCTCTAATAGCATAAACCCAAAGAATTCACTCCAAGAAAAGTAAAAATCAGACTTCAGAAAACTAAAGACAAATTAGAAATCTGAAAGCCATGAGAGAAATGATACTTAGAGGGAAAAAAAATCACCTGAATTACAGTGAATTTCTCATCAGAAACTATGCAGTTTGGAAGGAAGTAACAGAATATTTTCAGTGCTGAAAGGAAAGAACTGTCAGCCCAGGACCCTCTATTCAGTATAATTATTCTTCAAAACTTAAGGGAAAATAAAAACATTTTCAGATAATGAAAACTAAGAGAAGCATACCTATCCTGAAAGAAGGTGTAAAAGAAAGTTCTTGGAAAAAAAAAGAAAAAAAGAAATATAAGAACATTAAGAAGGAAAAACAAAAGAAAGTAAAAATGTGGATCAATACATAAACTTTCCTTCTCTGTAGTTCTCTGAATTATGTATGACAATTGAAGCCAAAGAGATAGCATTGTCTGGCAATAAATACATTATAAATGGGGGCGGGTAAAGGGGCTTACAAGGAAGTTAGTTTTCAATATCACTCAAACTGATAAAATGTCAGTAGGGGGATCTTTGTGATGATAGAATAGTTCTGTATCTTGGATGCACTGGTGGTTACTGGAATACACATGATAAAATTGAACTTACACTCATACACACGGTCAATGTCATGTTCCTGGGGTTTGATAATGTACTATAGCTAGATAAGATGTGACCATTGGGAAACTGGTTGAAGGATATACAGAACCACTTTATATACTATTGCAGCTTCCTATAAACTTACACATATTTCAAAATAAAACATTAAGAAATAGTCTCAGATACAAACTTTCAGTGTTATTTGTTCTATGGTGTTCTTATATGCAGTAAATTAAGTCATCTAAATTATTAGACTAGAACTTTGCCCCGATAACCTCAGTTTCTATTTGAGATGCACCAAAGTGTGCCTACCAGTAAACATTTTATTTTTTTCCTTACGGTCAGTTTCAAGCAGAAAACACTGGTCGCCACCAAATTATACAAAAACTCATTGGGTCCCACAGATCCATTGGGTTTCCAGCCATGGTGGCCCTTCACCAGATATGGGGAGGACCTGTTCTTACCCCTGCATTTCCACTTGCTGCTACACCGAATTTTCCTTGGTTACACTGCATTTCTGACTTTTGTGATCTTGCTGTTACTCCTAAATTTAATCCTTTAAGTGTAACACTTTTTAAATTATGTCTTCAACTGAGACCATTACTGTGTTATTCAAAACAGAAACACTAACAGGTCACTTTAAACCCATGAGATTATACAACGCATGGCCTTACATCCTGCACCAAGATCTTACCAAAGGAAATAGCATTGTCGCTGCAGGTACAGTGAGGGAATTTGGAAAGAGCAATAGCAGTTGATTTAACCAATAGAGATTTAATTAATGATGCATGTTTTAAATGCAGATTTTAGTATTCCAGGTAGACAATGGTGTTTATATCTGAATGCCTCTTTTTAAGAATAATTGATGAAGAAATTGTTTGAAACCACTGTTCTTGCAATGATAATAAGTTAAAGCTGTGGATAATTCATTTGGTAACATGCTTATGGTAGGGGGCAAGGCCCAAGAACTGCATGAAACTATTTGACTGTGGCCGCTGTGAGTTTCTTCTCTGCTGAGTGTGTACATGTGATGAAAGTTCCTAGTTCAGTGGTAAGATAAGAAACAATGCTTGAACTGAAAAGTCCTTGTGTTTCCCTAATACAGTAAAAGAGACTGACCTGTAGGTCTGAGACGTACTCCCATAGCAAGAAGATCTGAATCTTAGCCTGGGGTCCTCAAAAAGCAGGTCCTGAGACTAGCATTCCATGAAAGTAGATGATTTTAAAGGAGAGACCAGGAAGCACCAGGAGGAGAGGGTGGAAATGAGAAAGGAAGGAAAAGAAGCCACTGCTGGTTCACTGCAAGGCCGGTTAGCACTGTGAGTGACGGGTCAGTCCCACGGGCACCCTCGGGAGACCACTGTGTAGGACCGAGCCTCCAGCGATCCTGCCCTAGGAATGAAGAGGCCTAGTGTCGAGCCACGTGTAATCATTGGCTGCAGGCTGCTTCCGGCGTGTTAACTCCGTGCCACGTGGAGCCTCACCTGGGCACGTGTTTAAACAGGCACCTGTGGTCCGGAAAAGTGTGTGGGCAGGAAACCACAGGTGCTGGCAGTGAGAAGCCATCAGCGTGGATGAGAACAGGAAGTCCTGAGTACACAGGGCCAGGCGCCACCTTGCGACTTCTGCTGCAATACACCCAGTTGCTCCCTGCAAAGTTCCTGGCTTCTCAGTGGTTTTCCTGACAACTAAGCAGGGTAAACAATGTCCAAAAGAAAGCCAAAAAAGTAATGTCATTTGTGCCTGCATCTTGTTATGAGGTTGGGTCCTCCAAAAGCTGTGATACCAGAAAAGAGAAGACAATGAATCTACACTGAGTAGGGGTGACAGCTCTCCTCAGTTCTTCCCAGTAGTTGGAAATTCACATACTTAGTCTTCTGTCCATTATTTTTTTTCTTTTCTTTTCTTTTTTGTGTTGCTGAGGATTGAACCCAAGGCCTCCTGCATACTAGGCAAGTGCTCTGCCAATGAGCTGTACCTCAAGCCCTGCCTATTCTTGAAGATAGTAGGAAACTCCTCTCATTTGTGATGAATTAAAAACACTACTTTAAAAAATATTGTTAGTCCTCAAACACACCAAGCATGTTCTAGACTCAGGGCCTTTGCACTTGCTACTCCCTCTGCCTCCCAAGTGAGCTCCTAGCAGGAAGGTATAAGCCAAGACGGCTCCTGCTTATAGGGTAGGCAGTAGCTGTTTTATCTAGACTCAAAATGTAGTGCTCCTCAAAATGTAGTCCCTGAACCAACAAGATGGACCTCACCGGGAACTCGTTAGAGATGCAGATCTTGGGCCCCACCCAGACCTGTGAATCTGAGTAGCCAGCCTTGGAAGCCCTGCAGGTGATTCTAATGCACCAGCCTAGGCATGAAGCTGAAAGGGACAGAAGACACCCATAGTATTTATCATTTGTGAAATCCTTCTCAGAGATCTGAAACATGCTCTAAACAACTTTGCAATTCTGAAATTGCTACTTGTTGGCTTATGATTTACATTTTACTTATTTCTAAAATAAAGCACCAGAACCTAAAGCCAGAGCTGGCTTCTCCTACATAAGACCCGTGTAGCAGGACAGAGCCTGTGCTCATCTTCACAGGACGATTACAATGTAATAGAGCAATCAGAAACTATTTGGGTTAAATTAGGAACTTTATTATTATTTTCCAGAAAGTTAAAGATTTTATCTAATGAAATAATTGTGGAAGCCAATGCATTAAGACCATGGACTTTGGAGCCCATACAAGCACAGTTCTGGTCCCAGCCATAATACTACCTGTGGCCTTGGGCGAGTTATTTAATCTTTCTGTGTATCAAATTTTTACGTTTAAATGGGGGAAATGATACTGTAATATCTACCTCATTTGCCACAACAACTAAATGAAATATACATGCAAACCAGTGCCTACCACATGGTACATGCTTGGCAAATATTAGCTTTTGTCCATTTTTGGCTCCCCAACGACATTATTATAGATTAATAATTGATTATTCCAACTCAAGATTTTACCAAGCTATCAATATTTTTATTTATGGATTTTTTCCCTTTGATAGTTTTTAAATTTGGTTTCTCCTGAGGCATAAATTTGCATTTCTATCTCATATCTCTATTTTAAGAAGAGGTATTCAAAGACACTTCTGGTTACTGTTACTCACCTTAGTATCTTCCCAAAGAGTGATATATGAAGAAAGCAAACAGAATGCCAGAACTTCTGGAAGATCCTTCGTACACAAATGTATACTGATTGATTACAACTGGCACGACTTTTTTTTATAGTGTTTGAATTTATAATTGACTAGCAGAAGCACAACTATACTTAAAATATGTTGTTTAAATTGTTGGGGCAAAGACAGCAATAAATTTATCGCTTTGTCACTTATAGATCTAAGTATCTTCATTTGAAATTCTTGGAGCAGAGCTTATTTAGAAGAATTTCTGTAATTCTCAGTGAATTTGGGCTTAACTTTTATGCTTTGTTATGTATTTTTGGTCAGAATTTTTAGTGTACTTCTTGCTAAAAAGCATGATCAGGTCTATTTATTATTCAATAACACAGAGAATACATTTCCTTTTTTGTAGCACTGTGACAATTTCAGAGCACTTTGTATATATTATCTCAGTTAACTTGTACAACAATTCCATGGATTGATACGTATAGTTTCTCTCATTTTAGTTGAGAAAATCAGGGCTCTGAGCATTTAATTGCCTTTTGCAAGGTCACACATTAATTAGGTTGTAGATCTGAGACTAGAATAGATCTTCCTTTCACAGTGTTTTGATCACTTAAATTGCTTTATCACACTCAGCATTTATGTGCTTCCTTCAATTTCACTGAATTGCTCTTGCTAAATTCACCAATGCTGTTCATGTCACTGAATCAGTGGACATTTTTAGTCCTCCTCCTACTTGCCTTTCGGCAGCATCCAACAGAGTTAACTCTTTCCTTCTGGCTGTTAGGAACAGGAAAAATGGAGATGTTTGTTTCGTTGGCTTGGTTGGTGGCAGAGAGGCGTAGGAGGTGGAAGGCAACTTTCCCTTTTACTTCCGGCCCTGGATTTTTTATTCCTGCACACCAGATGTCTATGGTCTCTGTTGGTCCCTTAGCTTGCCCATGCTGTGTCCAATTTCCACATGCTCCACATGACATTTCTTCCTTTTGTCCATAAAATGTGTTAACTATTCTTAGTAATTAGATCAGATAAATTGAACTTTATTCACCTTTTATTCAGTTAATATTTATTGAGTACTAATTATATATCAGGCACACAAGTAAATCTTATCTTCTTTAGGGGAATTGGAATTATAAAAACAAAGGCCTCGTTTAGCAAGATCAGTCCAAGACAGATGGCAATTCAGGCATGATGACACACTGAAGTGAACGCTATTAAGCTATCGGAGAAAACATTTGGGGCCAGGGACCTCTTATGTCCTCTCTGTGTCTGCCATCCTCACAGCTTCTGATGAGGAAAAACTGTCTCACCCGTAGTTCCATTCCAGTGGGAACCATGTGTGACCCTGTGACCTTGTCCACTGCATCGGTGGCTGATGAGATCACAACAAGAGTGAGTCAAGGGCAGACTATAAAGGCGCCTGGGGCTTAGGAAGTGGCTCAGGGCTAGATGCATCCTGAGTCAGTCTTGGCAAAGGAGTGAAGGGAGAATCTGGACAAAGCAGGCTGCTGGCAGCAGGAGGAGAAGCTGAAAGGCTGTCAGGTTGAGAAGGAGCAGAAGCATCCAGAGAGATCACTGTGGGCTAGAAGGGGTGACAGTTCTGAGTCAGGAGAAACTCTGACCTAGATGGAGATAAACAAGGAGACGGTCTGAAGCAATCCAGAGCCCTGGTGGGAATGACTGTTTCCGCATCCCTCGTAGTCTTTGTCTTAGGCACCTTCCTCATCTCCGGGACACAATAACTGATACCCACAATTTAAAGATGGCAAGGCTTTTTTGGCTCATGGTTTGGAGAGGTTTCAGTCAGAGTTCGGCTGGCTCCAAGGTAGAGCGGCCTGGCAGAGGGGCTTGGTGGAGGAGAAGCTGCTCGTGGCCTGGCATGCAGGAAGCAGAACATCAAGGGAGGAGCTGGGAAGGAGATACAGACTTCTCAGGCTATGCCAGCAGTGCCCCTGCGTCCTCCTCTGACCAGGCCCCATCTCCTAACTGCTGTCAGCTCTAAGCCCCATGATCCAGTCACCTTCCAGAGGTCCCACTTGTGATCACAGGAGGCTTTAGGGGGACATCTAGTTATAAACCATGAGAATCTTAATTTCCATCCTTCTCATCGGCTTTAAATCTATTCATTACACCAAATGCATCTAATTATATCAGGATCATATGTTCTATATACACAGTATGTACTTTGTTTACATCAAATATTGGCCCAAATAAGGATTTAGATGTTTTTGAGTTCTGATTGTATATCCAAAAGCAAAGTGATAGTTGTGTAAATCAAGTCTAATGATTGAATCAAATGAGTTTATTGAGCCTTGTTCTCTAGTGTGAGGTGCACAGGTAAAGCTATCCGGTCACCTCTCTGCCCAAAGCCCTTCAGTGGATCCCCATTTTATGTAGAAAAACAGTTCAGCTCTGTATGAAAGGAAGTTTCTTAACAAGACCATCAGCTCAAATATACTGAAATTTACGTCTGGGAATAATGTCTCAGAAATTTGTCTCAGTGTTGTCGCAGAGTATAAAATTGTCTTAGCAACTCCAGCAATAGTGGTGTCAACAGAAAGCACATTCTCAAAATGAAAAGTTACCTAAATGCCCTGTGATCTTGTATTTGTCAGCAGTGACTGACTTTACTTTCTGTTATATCGATTGAAAATGGAGCTGTGGAAAATATACATTTTGATGATCTGTTGAATGAATATGTAGGAAAACGGTCAGAATATTTGCATGATCAATCAAGGTATAGTAATAAAATATTGTTGTTTTTGTACAATATAAAATTATAACACCAATATGTATTTTTGCAATATGGAAGTTCATCATACTCGTATAAATACAGTACTAAAATATTTTTCAAGGGAAAAAGGGTGTTTTTCTCTGCTGTTCGAACCAGGGGCCTTGCATTTTTTTTTTTTTTTTTGGTACCAGGGATCGAACTTGGGTCCTTGCACTTTCAAGGCTGGTGACGGAACCACTGAGCTAAATCCCCGGGCCTTGTAGCCAACTCTGCCGAGGTTTTCCATGATCTGTTTATCTCTTACAAACAAAAGGGGCTTTACTTTAAAGCCCATCCCCCCTTTACTTATTCTGCCTCAGATTTTAACATTCCAGACACCTCCAGCTTCATGGGTTTTGCTTTGGATATTTTCTCGGCCTGGATTGCTTCACCTCTAATATCCACATAGCTCACACTGTCACCTCTTTCAGATCATGGCTCGAACATCACCTTCTAGTTGACCAACCTCGTTCAAACTGCAGTACATTGCTCTCCCCCACCACCGCAGCACTCCCGATCCCCCCACCTTATTCTACATATTTCCCATGTACTTATCACCTTCTGAGGCTTGACTGACTCATGTACTCTGTCTGTTGTATATTATCGACTATTATGGCAGTTTCTCTACTATTATGTCGGCTTCACATGGATAGGGCTCTTTTTTCTGTTTTGTTCACTGCTGATTTCTGAGCACCTGCAATAATGCCAGCCCATAATAGATGCCCAGCGACTATCTATGAAATGAATGAAGTCTGAAACTCTTAGATAGACATGCAGTTGTTATGTGAGCCCACATTATTCACATAACTGCAAGGTGCTTTCCCTTGTTGTACAGTAGGCAAGTTATATTCTTGATTCTTCAGATTGTTTATAGCTAATGCTTTTATGTTTCCATCCATTTTAATTAATGAAAATTCCCCATTATAAGCCATATGTTCAATGCATGCTAATTAAACATTGTACTTCATATAATTGTAGCGTATTAGGAGGCATAAAAGGCTTTCAGAATGCTAAAAGCTTTTATAAAAGCTAAAACCAATGAAATAAAAACAGAAAACCTTCCTGGCTTAGTTCTTTAGTTGCTTATTAAGAATATTTACCTCCTTGAGATTCTATTTTGCCTCAGTCTAAATGATAACAGAAATACAGTATGTTTACACTTTACCTAATTGTCTTAGGGAATATTCTTTTTCATAAAATATCCTTCATGCATGGCTCTCTCTAATATTGTATATCCAAAAGCAAAATGATAGTTGTGTAAATCAAGTTTAATCATTTAATCTAATGAATTTATTGAGCTTGATCCTCTAGTGTAGACTAACTTGTGTTCACTTTCAAGCAGTAGAATCTTTGACAATCAATATTCTTTTTTCCCATTTAAGTTGACTTTTTCAAAAGAACCAAGTTTTCTTCTAACTGAGACAAAATTCAGGATTATTGTTGCAACTGGGAATTATCCTTTTTTTAAAAAAAGCAGACTTGTTACATGATACTTCAGAGACAGAATTACTTCTGTAATCGAGGAAATTGTATTGACAGCTGTTGTGCTCTGCTCATGTCTGGTAGAGGGAGTATTTATGTCGGGACAACATAATCTGGATTTCCCAAGGAGCCACCGAATTAATGAATTGCTTAAGTAGCACACCAAAGCTATTTTTTAAGTGTAGAAATGATATAAAAATTTGATTAGTGTCTTTCAGAGTAATTAGAAGGATGAAAATCATGGCAATAATGTCCTACCTGCATTCAATGAAGGGATGGCTCCAAAGACTTCCTAGTTTCAATGTGATATTAATATGATGTAAATAATATTATGTGAATCAGAATTTTAGGGTACTAAGAAAATATTAAGACAGATACTAACAAGTTTCAATTCTGTAGCAGCCCAGCCTGTTTTTATCCTTATTCTTCCAGTGAACTTTCCAGGTCACATGGAAAAATGACCTGTCTCATATTAGTTCACAGAAGATGCTCGATGACAAGAGACAGAAACTCACCACAAAGCAAAGAAAAGGGAATTTATGTTTTTACTTGGCTGGAAAATCTAAACATGTGTTTATTTCAGTTTCAGTCTCTTCCATGAGATTGATGGCTCTAGGTTCACAGGCTTGTGGTACCATGACTCTTAAAACAGGACACCACTGTCCTACTAGCTGTGCAGAAAAATCTGTGCAGGCATTCTGGAGTCACTTGCTGTCTTAATCACTTTTCTCGTCGCTGAGACAAAATACCCGACACCCGCAAGTTAGGGAAGGAAAAGTTCATTTAACTCACAGTTTATAGAGATTTCAGTCCATAGTTGGCTGGTTCCAAGGTGGGGTGGCATGGCAGAGGGACATCACAGAGGAGAAACAAGTCCATGGCGAGCAGGCAGGAGACAGGGAAGCAGCAAGCAACAGCAGCAGCAGCAAGCAGCAGCAGCAAGCCTGCCTTTATATTTCATCCAGGCTACACACCCTTTGGGTAGTGCCATCCACACCCAGTGTGGATAAACAATCCGAGCATCACACTCTAGATCTGAAAAGACCCACCTACGAGTGTATGAGGCTTTGGGGGGACATGTAGACACAAGCCATAACACTTGCCTATCTCCAAACCAATCATGGTCCCTAGAGGATGAATGGCTCTGACACCCTTGGCCTCTCTAACCTGGCTCACCCCCACCTGCACCACTGGAGACAGGGAGAGGTTTCACCAGAGTACAGGAAGCTAGTGACCAGAGAAGAGGGGTAAGAAAACAAGTGGGATGGATAAAGCTGTCTTGGATTAATAGGCTAAGTAAATGAAGCCACATCAACTAGAAAATGACTCAGAGTTGAAGACTTCTAGGGATGATTATCAAAAATAAAGAACAAAAACAAAAGCAAGCCTTGTTCGCATTTTGACTGTTCCCTTTTGAGGTGTCTGAAATTCATTCATCTACTCAACTATGGGAGGTTTATAGTCATTATATTTTGGGTTGATTGTAGTTGTAAATTCCATGTACTAGATTGCTACTATGTGTTAAGCTTTAAACACTTTGAGATATTTTGCATATACGTGTATCTCATATATTCTGATTGTGTCAGTGAGGTTCATCTGTGAGTAGCACAAAAATTTAAGATAATGGTGGCTTAATGTATTATCTCACATGAAGGACCCTGGAGGTCAGCATCCTAGGCTGAGTTGGCAGCTCCATGACCACCATGGACACATGTTCCTCTCCCGTGTCCACCATCCCTACCCTAGAGCATTGCCTTGTGATGTGACGGTTGCTTAAGCAACTCCAGTCCAAACATGTGCTTTCTTGGCCTCAGCAAAGGGGAGAGAAGAAGGTTGTTGCCCTTCCTTTACAAAGAGGATGATTAGTGTTCCTATACACGTTTCCACGAAGGTCCTATTGGCCATAACCTAGTCACATGGCCATGCCAACTAAGTGAGGCAGGGAATTGTAATTTTTTCAGTTCTTTAGTAACCAAACTACAGTGTGCCCAGCTAAAATCTGTGGTTTGGCTTCGAAGGAAGAAGGAGAAAATGACTTTTGGGAAGCAACCAGGAGTCTCTGCTCCTCACTGTATCTTGTAAGATGTATAACAAACATTGATTATGGAGCTGGAAGACCATGTGTCCTGAGTTAGGAAAGTCTTAAAATCTCTAGATTTGTGCTAGTTTGATGCCCTTAACAGCTTTCTTTCTCCCATCTCTAGACCTCATGCTGTTAAACATGTGCTAAAGATTTTATAATAGTCCTGATTCATCACAGTCCTGATGGCCCTGCCATATGAATATGTGCATCTGGGCAGCAAGGCTATGTATGACCACTGCTTTCCCATGCACCCTGCCACTGTCACCTCAGTGACCAACTCTTCCCTACTTGCATGTGGAGGTGGAGTTGTTTGCATTGGTTATCCCTTTGATGCTGAGAGGTACTTCATTTCTGTCCTAACTAGCTGGTGCATTGCCATATCACTTTTAAAAGTGAGATTTAACATATTAAGTACAGTACACTCTTCTCTCATGAAAAATGCCAAGTATAGCTCTTCTTTTTCATTTAATGTATTATAGATCCCTTAAAGAACAGTAAGAGTACATTAATGTTGTATACTTACTAGTCTTGAATGGAGATATTAAAGTGTATATAGGGTGACATTACTTCCTTTAGAGATTACAGGATAAAATGAGTAACCAATAGAGGTTCAGAAATACCCCAGTAATATAATCATTCCTCTTTGTGAGCCATATAAAACCACAGCATTATTTGAGCTGGAAACATGTTCAGATATGTTTAAGGCCTCATCATGATAAGACATGAAACACAATTTTAGCATATTAAAAATGTTTTTGCCAATTTACCTGCAGGTATCAGCCTCTCCAGGATTAAAAGTATAGGCTAAAATAAGTGCGTGAGAAGCCTTCTTAATAAAATTCTTCTTGAGCATGATTCTGAATGATCTTTTACAGGGCCCATGAAGGAACCCCAAATGCATAGTGTTTCCATGTAGACATCGCATCCTGTTAAAGAAAGAATGGTGACTATTACTCTGGGGAAAGTTAGGTGATTTAAACAAGTTAAGCATAAAAATAAGCATTTTATTTAGTTTTACTTTGTCTTTTGCTCTACTAAAGATACTGAAGAGAGAAGTGAGAACCATGGGGTTGGGGGTGGGTCTTCTTAATTCATCTGGTACCAGGTTGAGGTGTTCTGAGAAAAATAATTTATCACTTTTCTTTTCCAAGCAAGGAATTTGTTGGAGGAATCTTAAGGAATCAATGTTTTTATGTGGAGTGATATCTACTAGATTGGTGTAGTTAATTAATCTAGGTTAGCCTCATTTCTTGATTTATGTAATAGAAATTCAGCCTGTGCCCTGTTAAATTGGCCACAGTGTTACACAATGACTGTAAGGAGTGACAATTCCTATTTCATTTTCTGTCACAGTCCTCCAGGACTGGATCAGCCCAGCAAGTGCAAGGTTCCAAATGCCTTCAGGATGATGCCTGTGTGGATAAATAGTATTTTCCCCCTAAGTGGCATATTTTAAATTGTGACACATTTTATTGTCCCATTTAATGCTTCAAACAACTTTTCTCTCAAAGCATTTTACTAATGCAAACATTTTTTTCCTAAAAATGTAAATAGTTGTTTTCTTTCTTATTAATGGAATTACAACCAAGTTGTCTTTGTAAGATTGTTTCTTATATGGCTGCAGTAAAGTGTATTGTTCCATTGTCAGACATAGAAATTCTAATGATGTACAAAATTAGGTAGCCAGAAACACTAAGACATTCATATAGGAAAAGTGGAATCACAGAAGCTTTGGGTTGAAAGGAACTTCAAAGGTGTTTGCCTAGCCCCAGAGAGTAGCATTTATAAAAGTGAGCAGAAGATTTTCTATATTCACTTGCTTTTAGCCTCAATTTAATTCCACTCTGAGGCTTTCTGATACGGACTTTATCAAGAAAGACGACCAGAAGGAAGCCCTCCCCTTCTTGCTGTCTTGCTGGACGCACCTTTTTTCTTACCTTCTCTTCCTTTCCTTTTCTCTCCAAAGTACCCACTTCCTTTGCCACTAAGGCTTTTAAAATCTCAGGCTCAGTTTGCCTCTTTCAGAAATGTCTCTCCTAACTCACTTCCCACCTAAGGTTGCCAGATTAGTAAATGAAAATATAGGACACCCAGTTAAATTTGAATTTCAGATAAACAATGAATGAGTTTTTAGAATAATTACATCACAAATGTTGCTTAGGTCATACTTGTAGAGAAAACGTCTTTGTTGTTTATCTGAAATTCAAACTGAAGTGGGAACCTGTGTTTTATCTGACAACTCCACTTCCAGACCTCATCCCTGTGATCCCATCACTGAAGTTCACACTTCCATCTGTAGCTGGAACTGCAGAGTCAGACCTCCTCTTTTCTTTTGCTGGCTTCTGTGCCTAGCTGCAGTCCCCCAACTGCCACTCCGTAGCTTTCTCCCACCAGTGGCCAGCAGAGCTACTTTGGCTCCTCTTCCACCCCTGGCCTTTGCATCTAGTCTATAACGTGTCCTTGACAGTCCGACTTTCCCTCCTTCCCTCCTGCTCCCCCTTTCTCCTTTCTGCCCATTCCCACAGAGCCCTCTTTCAGCTCCTTGATCCCAAGTTCCCTGCCCCCCACTGGCCCTGCTGGCCTCCTGCTCTGGGCTGTTCTGAGTTACTGTACCAGGTTTCTTCTTTCTCAGCAGAAACTCTTCCATGACTTCCTGTCTTCCACAGAAGGAAAGGCGAGTCCCTGTTCAAGCCCTCAGGTGCCAGACTCCCTGGAACTGGCTTCTGCCTCTCTGTCTAGCAGCCTGCACACCCTGCTCCTTCAGATTCACTCACTCTTTCACTGTAAAATAATATCAAAATCTGCCTCAGAGATGTTTTAAATTATGCAGTCATTTGGCGTACAGATGAAAAGGAAGCATTATCTTAGCTTTTATCACTACATTAGTAAGTGTCACATTATAAAGTTTATCCTAATAAAAATTTAATGATATTCTAATTATATATACAAAGAAATGTTTTGCTTTTTCTCCACTTAACAAATGACACACACACTCTCTTTGAATTAATTAAGTAATAAAAATGTGGATTATTAATAAATTTTAAATGGCACCAAGCATTATGTTTGGTTTTGGGACCAAATGTATATGGAAATGTGTATTATCAGTAAACTCTATGATAGCAGGATTTCCTGACCTAATGTTTAATTCTTGCATTTTGCATTTAAAAATTAACTAATGTATTTCTATACTTTTTACTTTACATTTCTAAGCTCCAGGTTGCTATTCTGAGGCATTTTTTCAGTGAATGTATTTTAGAATCAGATAGTCTTTATTCATAGCAAATGAAAAGCCAGATTGTGTCTAGTCCTCCACTTCCTCCTGAGGATCCTGCCTGTGTTCTATTGTGGAAACCAGGGCTTTGGGAACTGAGTTTCTGAGGTGAACCTCGTAACACTTGTCTTTATGGGTTTGGCTTGGAATCAAAGTACTGTAGCAGCTTCTTGGGAAATCTGAGAAAGGCTACCACTGGTCCCGGTAATGCTTCTTTTCTCATTCTTTTCTCCTGGGCCTTAATAAATTGAATAAATGATGAGTTCCTGGTCCCTGGTTTGTATCTAGAAAAATGAAAATTGGGTTATATTAATTGAGAATGTCTATCTAGGCGATTTCGTCTTTACAGGTGGCACCGATCCCTGTGCTGTAATTAGTCACAGTGATGCCCACGTTAAGATGCTGCACCCTTCAGATGGGTTTCTCCATGTCTGCCGCAGTTCTCCTGTCTCCTTCTCCCTGCTTTCTGTCCTCACAGGCTGGCCTGAGTGAGCCATCATCCAGCTCCCTGCACCCTGGATTCTAGAGGCTTTGGCCAATGGAGAACCTAAGCAGGTAATCGGAGGAGAGGACAGTGGTCTTCTCCCTGCAGGGTCTCTGGTTGGCTGGTTTTTTTGGACTGACGATCAATTTCCTTCTCAAAGCAGCCTACTCTGTATAACTTTCTCTCTCCTGAATTTGAGTAACCTTTTCTTCCCTTGCACTTTCAGGCCTACTGGTGGCAATCGGTTTACTACTGTTAACCCAAGATTTCAGCACTGTTCCTGTTGGTCCCCTTTATGCTGATACATCTTCGTAAAAAGGCCCTCCATGAATGGAGTGTTCTATCCATTTCCTGTTGGGACCTTTGTTGATATAGTGCTTTTCCTGGAGTAACTAATTTCATCTCGTGAATTAGAAATAGTATTCCCATTCTATGAGAAAGGAAAGGAAAGCAAGCCAACATTGTTTGGCCTGCAAAAGCTGCTGGCTAATATGTGGCAGAACCAGGATTTAAGCCTAGAAAGTCTGGCTCCAGCCTGCATCATTGTGACCACCATGCTATACCCTGGTATGATAATACGAGCAATAAGTGATTTCATTGTTGTTTGGGGAATATTCATACTCAAAAGATATATTAAAATTAATCATGTTGATGACAGATAAGGGTTGATCAACCAAATTATTATCTTTCCTCACCTAGCACTTTCATCTGCATACTTCAAAAGATGTTGATTTTTTTTTCTACCACCCAGGAAACAAAGGAATGATATTCTTTGATGTTAAGGAACAAGGTGTTCAATTTTTACTTATTACCCTCAGCCCTATTAGAGAACAATTCTTTGCTCTAAGTACTTTCTAAACTCTCCACAGCTCAAATTTAGTTTCTTCCTTGTTTTGAGCACCAGGATTAGAGTTAGTATTCATTTCTCACAATGACCTAGTTTTTACATAATTCTGCTCCTGTCCATTCATTCGCAGAAGTAACGTAGTCATCCTTTCGTTGTTCACTTCGCACTGGGGGCTGTGTCCCTTCTGCCCTGCCCCCTACAGACCCCTCATTATTCATTGTTCATTGTCCTCCATATTCACCCATGGCGTATGTAACCTGTCACATTTTCCGTCCTCGCCCTTGTGTGTGGCGTGTCTATCGAATGCAGCTGCGGTGTGTTGATTCTGGACTCTTGCTATCCTTGGTTGCTACACTAGGCTGCTCCTGGATGACTTATTTGGCAGTAGAAATCTTTTCCAACACAGCAGTTTCTTAAAGGATAGCTTCATTTCTTCGTGCTAAAATACTGAAAATAAAGAAACAGCCCTGTTAACAGTCCCTCGGGGAGCTTCAGGTCATTAAAGTGGCACAGAGTGATAGCCTATAATTATGCTGGCCCTGGGTATACATGGACTTTAAAAGTGCAGTTGATTTTTTTTTTTTAGGAGCTCAAATAAGAAAAACACAGTTATGACTCAGGTGTTCTTGTTAAAGATAGCACATTTGAAGGCGGGGCTGTTTATAGCTTGGTTTTGGGTAGTTATTCTGTAGTGAAGTTCCTGTTCTTGACAAATTTGCTCTGCAGTCATTTTTCCTAACGTGGGTGGCTAGGTTATGGGAGAAGGCCAGGGTTTCTCTGCAGTTCGCACTTGTTTTCTGAAAGCCCATTTGGTATTACTGTGGGCTAAAGCTCCCAAACTAGGACGTTTGCCCAGAAATTCAAATCCGTGAGCACAAGAAATCTTATCTGTCTTCTCGGACAACTTACCTTGCTGCTGTGTTTCAGATTTATTCTGATGTAATCTATAGTTTTAAGACCATAAGAGAAAGCTGCTTATTAAAAGTTCTCTGTTTTACCAGAGTTGTATACTAAGCATTTTTTTCCACAAATGTCTTTTTGTAAGCACAGACTATATTTTAAAGTTTATTTTCAAAGGTTTGCTTAAAGAGGGAAATTTGGGTTGCATCTATTTTTCAGGGCAAATTGCCAAAAAAGAATCCATGAGGTGATATCTTTTGTTTAAAAATAACTACATTTAATGTCCTTTGAGACCCAGACAGATCTATTTAGCCAAACCCCTCATAAAATATGGTTTATTCCATTGTCCTAGCAAAGATTTAAGAATAAGATGCCATGTTGAGCTATTTTGTTTATTTTTATCAAAAGGCTCTTTCATCTGTCTTCCAAATATGAAAGGATATTTAAGTACAGAGATATTTTAAAATCCAACCCTTATTACAAAAGAACAAAATTTCAAAAAATAGTCCCTAAAAATCAATCAAAAGAAAAATAGACCTATGCAGCAGATTTTTGCTTTGCCTTCATTAAAAACATCAATATCTGTGAGTTTAATTTGCAGCAAATGAAGAGTAAGTACAAAGAATGCCCAAACAGAAGAGAAAAGTAGGAGAAATATTTCTAGATACTTGAAAAAAATGGAAGGAGCTCTGACTATTCAGCCTCCATAGCTGCCATTAGTTCTCTGTGCTGGCAACTGCTGTGTCCCTCCTGGGATTAGATCCATGGTCCGGAAACACTGCTAATCTTCTACCTCTTTCCCTGCCATATACTCAGCAAAACCCCTTCTCTGCTTAAACCTGATCATCCACCGTATCTCCAAATGGACTGCTGAGTAGCTCTGAAGGAAAACTGTGCTGGCTGAACTCGTAGAAGTCCACATCTAGTGGCCATTTAGGGTTCCCATACAGTCCGAAAATGCTTCTCTCGTGTGCTCACTTTCTCACTCTCACCCACTTTAATTCGTCTCGAGCTTTCCACATTCCCTTCCCTTTCTCTCCCTCATCTGCCTCACATTTCACAGAGTAACTAGACCCATTTGGCCAACCACTGCCTCCTGCGACCACCAAATCAGCCCACCTGTGTCTGTACCTGGTTGCAGCTCCCTTTCCATGACACTGGTCAGAGCTCTCTTTCCTGTCTCCAGGCAGTTTGCCCCTATTTCTTAAGTCTTTCTTGCCTTCTCTAATATATTGGACTTTCAGTTTTCTTCTCACTGATTTTTCCAAACCGATAGGATTATTCTCATCAGTAAGATATTCTATCTCTTGTCTTAAAATAAAACAATGTCCTTTATTTACTCACATGCCTTCCAGCTGTTTTCCATTTCTGTGCTCTTTTCCAGAAAAACAGTATTTTTTGACCCTGTCTGGTTGGACTCCGTCTTCTCTGTCCACCTTCTTGTCAAGGTCACAAATGACCTCTATGTTGTCAAAAACAGTGGTCACATGTCTGTTATCGTCTCACTCGATCTTTAAGAAGACAAGGCGAATTTCTTCCTCCTCTTGGAAACATTCTTACTCTTGCTTTCCTAACCTGACCCTTGGTGGTTATGGAAGTGTCCCCACCCAAGGTTCCCTTCACTAGAATCTGCTGCAAGACAGTAGCTGACTCTGGGAGACTTCAGCTGCAGTCCTTAGGTCCAGCATAGTAGGAACACAGTCTAGCCTTCCTTGGTTTGTATCCAGAGGAAGACTGAGCATCACAAGGGCACTAGAACTGGGACGTACTCTCACTACCTGAGATCCCACCATTGGGCAGTGTTGGATTGGAGCTTCCCTTTGGTTAGTTAAGTCTTTCTTAGAACTGAGCTATGTTCTGAGGCTCTTCCTATCCAATGCTTCTGTTACAGTTGAATGGGCCAAAAGTAGTCCAGGTTCTTCTGCACAACAAGGAAAGAATTGCCAAGTGTACACCTTGTAGTATGTAGTAAGTAGCTATATTTATTGAAGATCAGGGGACAGTAGCAGGAACAGGGAGAAGAGTGACGGGAAAAGGGGACTCGAGCAAAAGGAGAAAAAGACTGGAATATGAAGGGGAATAAAAAGGGACTCGATAACTCAGGCTTCCAGTATTGATAGGGTCAGACACCACTGATCTAAGGCACCTCCCACTGTCTCTCTCACTGATGTCAGTAGTCTGCAGGACCTCCTAAGCTTCAGCCTGGGCAATCATTAGGATGGTGTTGTGTTTATAGTTAAATGGAGAGAAGGAAAGTGGCTCACACAACTTCCTTGCTTTAGGATTATGGAAGCATGGATAATCATTAGGGTGGTGTGGCATTTACAGTTGAATGAAGGGAAAGGAGTGACTCTTTCAGCTCCTAACTGTACCACTTCCATGCCTGTCCTCTTTCACAGGTGTCAGACCTACATCGGATCTCTGAAGCTCTCTTCACCTATTCCTGTTCCCTCCTCCTCTCTCTCGTGCACATCTAAATGTATCTTTGTGTCAGCTTCCCGGACAGCCCGAAGTGGCTCACGTACTTCTCATGCTACCTTCTTTCCTTACCTATGCCTTTGCCCTCTGTCTTCACTGCTGAGCCTCCTTTTCTTCACGGACCCTCATCACGGACAGTTCCATTCTTAGACTGACTCTTCTTGATCTCTTTGCGATCTCACTCATTTCTGTGACCTTAAATATAATTTTTGTGTCATTGACTGTCCAGTCTGTCTCCAGCTCTGATCCCTTAGAATTCCATACTGTACTTAGTCACAGTCTCCACTTGGATATTGATGGTAATCTAAAAGGTAATGTGTTTTGAAGCACTCTTGGTCCTCCTTATCAAGACCTGACCTCCCTCAGTTGTCCTCATCTGAATAAATGACTCCAGCCATTCTAGATGGGTCACTTTCCCCATCTCCCATCAGCAAGTCCTATCAGCCGATCTCTTACGTATCTCCCAGATCAGTCCCTTTTCTCCACCTTCACTACTGCCACCCTCCGGAGTGCCCCCCGCCCCCCACAGCACTCTGTCCCACCACACTCATCACTGCTCCCACTTCATTCACGTCTCAGTACCCAAAACTGAGCTTTGAAAAATACACATCAGATCCAGTTTTTCCCTGTCATTGGAACTACAGAAGCTCTTTGTCAAACTTAAATAAATAAAACACAGGCTCTTTTATATTGCTTATAAAACCCTAAATGATCTGGCCTCTACCCACCCCTCAGATCCACCTCTTCCTGTCCCCAGCCTCAGCCGCAGTGCTTTCCTTCACTTCCTAGGATGAGCCAAGATTATCTTGAGCCTCTTATCTCATCCCTAGGTGTTTGTCCTCCTCATCACTCAGATCTTGGCCCCAATGCTACCTCCTCAGGGAGGCCTTCTCGGTTTGACTAGTCTAAAGTAATTAGAAAGTATCCAGTCATGTTAGGACAATCACCCTTTTTCGTTTTCTCAATAATACTCACACTTTCTGATCTTTTTCTTACTTACCGTGTCTCCCCAAGTGGAACACAGTTTCCTTCCCCTTTCTCTCTAGCTTTCACTACACCCAAATCACTCAGCTCTGTACTTCCCTAGGTAGCAAGCACTCATACTTACCTGTGAAATGAGTGCATTGGCACAATTTTATATTTCACCTCCATGAACGTATTTTTTCCTCTGGAAGAAAAAACTAGTGAATTTTCCCAACTCTGCATTTCTAACCTTGTAGCTCCTCTGACATCCATCCTTCCTTATGCTGCACTTTTCCTTGAATTTGTACATAATGCCAGCACAGTTACAATCCCATTAGAGCGCATTCCACGGGGCATGCTGCTGGCTTTGTGATAGTGGAATTTATCACAGCACCAGAAATTGCATTTCCAGTCCACAGAAGCTGAGGATGAAGCAGCTAATTGTCCGTTGCTCCATGGAATAAGAAGCCAAGAGCTCTGATTCTGAAAGAGGGTGTGAGACCTAGCGAGATCCACACTGCCTTCTCCAGGCTCCTTGGTGTTTTATATGGAATATTGGCCTGGGGATTTTTGTTTGTTTCCAGATAAATGCTTAGTGACTTGAGTATTAAAAGAAGGGATAGTTGGAGACAAGGGAAAAATTTAAACAGTTATTATTTGATGACAAGGAAACATTCTCGAGTTCTTTTTTTTATTATTTAATTCAGCTGATCTACTTTCTGTGGCAGAAACAAGCACACCACCAGGTACTGTTTGTAAACATGAGAATACACAGGGCCAGGGCCAGAGGGCGAAACAGGTCAAAACAGAACACAGTTCCTATTATGAGATCTTTTGTGCTCATAATTTTTTTGTGATCACAGCAGTGAAGGTTTCTGTTTTGTTTGTTCATTTTTGCTTTTAATCGGGCATCCTTCTGAAATGTGGAAACATTTCACTTTATTATGAAAATATTCTTTCATTGTAGTGACAGTTGTGTTCAAGTCCGGCCATTAAATTTCTATTTTAAGGGTTCGGTTGTTACAGTGTGAACATGTCTTAAGTTACTTTGAAGTCATGAATTCAGAATTTTTTCTTGGTGTCTCAGACAAAAGAATTTTTACCCTCTCTCTTATACCCATAATACTTGATACATGGCCCTTATACTGTAGTTGTATTTGCCTGTGTCTGTAACTGAAGGAAGGAGGCGGGATATGTTTTATTCACTTTTGGATTTTCCCACCTGTAATCTCCCTCCAGTCTCTATCATTCTTAATTTGGTTTCTGGGACCAAGGAGTTTTCAATAGGTCTGTGCAGAGCAGTCATGTCTGTTCCTTCCTTAGTCTGTTACTTCCTTCCATCATTCACCCCATCATGTCCTGCCTTTGTTGGCAAAGCTGTGTGATTAGTCATCAACTGTTCTAGTCTTTGTTGAGTTGCCAAAGTAGTGTGTGAATCTGCTTGTTCCCTGCGTGTTTGTTGTATTGCATGGTCTTCCAGTTCTTAGATTGAGATCTTCATTGATGAGGCCATCTTGTCTTCCTTGCCGATAAATACAGTCTGTGCATGAAGAAAAAGCTTACCTATTTCCCTTCTACATTTTTATATATGTTTCAGTGGAGTCTGTGTTGGTGTCATCTTGTTTATCTTCTTAGACTCTAATTTGTTTGAAGCCTAATCTAAATGAGTCAGTGCTGTCACTGAAAACCAGCCCTGTGACAGGCACATAGGAATTCCTGCCGAATCTTAAGGTGCTGTGTCTGCTCTTAAGAAGCCAAAGTTTGGTTGGAGAATGAAAAACTTGCTGTGTTGCTTTATTTACAATGTGAGAATTTTAAAGATGCATCAGATGCCTTGATTGTAAGACTGATCTCAAATTCAGAAGTACAAGCAGTCTGGACCGTGCTCCAAGAGATGGAATCCTGAGGATTTTGAGAAAAAGCCAAAGGACCTAAAGCTTGTTTGACTAGCTTTTCCTCTTCTGTTACCTTTTCCCCCATTTCCCTGGCCTCCTCTCTACCATTGCCATGGTAAGGCAGCTCACCCCTGGTGGTAGAAGTATCAGGGAAGATGCTACCTCTCTAATGTTTCCCTTAAAAAATTATAAAAGGTAAAGAAGGGGCTGGGGATTTATTTAGCTCAGCGGTATAGCGTCTGCCTGGCAAGCATGAGGTCCTGAGTTTGATTCCCAGTACCAAAAAATAAAACAAAACAAAAAGTAAACAAGGCTGTCTAAAAAGGGACACAGTTATCATAACTTTGCAAATGTGAACTTATACAGCAGTGCACCCAGCACTGTTTTCCACACAAGGAGGTACTGTATGTACCAATTAATGATGGGTCCCTTTTTTCTTATCTGTTTTTCTAACAGTAGAACTGTAATTGTATATGCAAAATGATGTTGGGGCCAATTCTGTCTTTGCAAAGATGTTAGTTGTAAATTTATCCCATTATATTATTTCAACACGTGCTTTATTATTTATTTTTGCTGTTAGAATGCTGCTAGCATTTGTTTATTAAGGATCAGTACACAAATGGTAAACGTCTAGCAGGAAATATTGCTGTCTGGCTGAGGGTGCTGGGACCTTGTATGATGTATTTCTTCTGTAATTTTATCCCCTAGTAGAGGCTCCACCATGTCCTCTTGTAGCCTCCAGAATGTCATAGAAACTTGAACCGCTTTTAAGTTAATTCTTTTAGAGCCTAGCCTTTTGCTCATCTTTCAGACTTTTACGGTGCCCTGACGTGTCTGAGGTTTAGGAAAATTAGGCTCAAGTTGATGAGGGGGTCTAATATAAGTCTTTGTTGCTGAGTGAAATTCAGTGGTTTTGGCTCATGGGAATTTGCATAAAATTGCTGGTTCATTTGATTCAGTTCCCTCTGGACTACACCCATAGAGTTTTCTCTGAGTTTAACTGGGTGATTCCCACCCCACACCAAACTCAAAGTGGAACACAGTGGGAACTTTGAGGTTTATACCTCAAGCCATAACTCATCATAGAGCTTTATGGGGTTTC